ATATCAAATAATCAATTCAAAAAATAATAATTTTAAGCTAAACTATACGAGTTGTATGAAAGCAAAACCAAAAGTCAAAGATGCCTTATAAAAAAATATATGAGAGTCATAAATTAAAGTATACATTTTTATTAAAAATAAATAAAATAAAATTCTCATAAAAGTCTAATTTGGTTTGGTTTCCCTACCATCGTCCAATAATATATGTGTAAGTTTCCGGCAGTAGACTCCGAACATTCTAAATTATATAATTTTTAAGGGTAAATTACACAGTTCTTCACTAAAACTTTATTTTCTCTCATACTTTATTCATCATACTTTTAATTTTTTTTTGTTTTACTCATTGAATTTTACGGATTGAATTATTTTGCTCACTATGTCGTTAATTCTCTAACTGTTTGATGATGTGTTTTTTTAATTATTATTTAATATGAAATAATTAAAATATAAAGGGTAAATTACATTGTTCCTCACTGAACTTTATTCTCTCTCATATTTTGCTCACCCGACTATAAAATAAAAACAGAAGCTGGTCGAATGCCACTGTCGACCACCATAGATGGTGGTCGTTCGGTCCCAAATTTAATGGGTTGCTTCGCTTCGACACATTGAGCTTGAATTCGACCTCCATTTTATTGAAACTTGCTCAAAACTCTACGAACTAGAGATTAAAAGTGAGGAAGCCGAAACATTTGAATCGAAACTCACGGATTTTGGGACATTTTTCCATTGAAAGAACCACCTGATTTTGACTTAAGGGGTCGAGAAGAATCGACCCATGAATTTTGAGACCGAATAACCACCATTAACGACGATAGACAGTGGTCGAAATGAAAAATTATGGGGTGGCCGACGGAGGCAACCGGTCACCGTATTTGCAAATAAGATGATTTAAAACGACGCCTTTTTTATGCTTGTGCCATATCATCACACCGTTAGAGAGCTAACGACAGAATGAGCAAAATAATTCAATCTGTAAAGTTCAGTGATTAAAAATAGAAAAATTAAAAGTACGATAAGAAAAATAGGATAGAGAGAGTAAAGTTCAATAAAGAACGGTATAATTTACCCTAAATTTTAATATTTATTATTGTACCTACAAAAACAGCAGGATAATTAAACTTGAGCTTCATGGTGCCATCATAAATCATAATTAGATTATGACAATGAATTTGAAAATGATACCAATTGTACAATCACTTCATTAGATTCAACCAAATCTTACCCCTTAGACTTATGACCTTTAGGGGGTGTTTGGTTCAACATATTTGGTTGGCCGGGAATCTCATTCCCGGTAATGTTTTATTACCAATAGTAGATTTTTTGGGATATATTACCGGGAATGTCATTACCTCCCTTCCCTTAGGTATTGTAACATTATCAGCGTTTTGGACTAAAATGTCCTTAAATTATTATTTTTTTCAAAAATATACTTCTTCTGTCATTGAATAATAAAAATTCTACGAAGGTTAAATTACAAATTTATCCTTAAATTATTTTAGATTTACAGAAAAAAGTATATAATTAAAATTTTATATGAAGTTCAGGGATTAAAAAAAATTTACCCTTTCATTAAACCTTTTTTTATTTTTTATTTTGTAAAAAAATTATATAAATATTATGAATTTAATTTTTTAAAGAAAATATATAAATATTTTACAATTTGTAATATTATACAAATATATAATAAGGATAATTTGGTTAAATATACATTTCAATAATCTTTTATTCCTTTAACCAAACACGGTAATCTTACAATCCTACTAAACCAACCAAACACAAAATACAACATTCCCAGTAATCTTATTCCCTAATAATCTTTTATTCCCAGGTAATCTTACATTCCGTGAACCAAACGCACCCTTAAGTCATTCTCATTTCATATTCCACATAACATATCCATCTTTTGTAGGGTATTTATTATTTGGTTTTAATCCAATTAACTGGTTGAATCAAATTAATTTGGTTAATTTGATTGAGGAACGGTTAAATTTTTCAAATATTCGGTTAACAACTAATTCGGTTTGAAATCAATTAATTAATCGAATTAGTCAAAATTAATAAATATTAAATATGTTATATATATTAAATCCATATTTTAAGCTCAAATCCATGTAGAACTAAAGATCCAATTATTTTTTAACCACACTAAATTCACTAAATTATCAATACCTAATTAAATTTTAACCAAAATAAAAAAAATATCTCTATTATAATCAAATTAATCTAATTAAAAAATTTAAAAAAAAACTTGATTAATTTAGTTAACCGACCGAAATAACTAAACTTTGTTTGATTCAATTGATATTTTTTTAAAATTTCGATTTGGTTAATGGTTAAAAGTTCAATTAATTCAGTTGATAGTATTTTGATTCGGTCGTGATCGAATTAACCTTCTGAACACCTTAATCTTCTGTTGTATGTTAGACTTTTAAAGTGAACACAACAATATGAAGTTTGTATTATTTTAAAATACGTGATAGATTCATTTAATTTATAATATTTTAAAAGTAATTAATTTATATTTAATTATGTCTAATCACTACATCATTAATTTTCAAACTAACATTAAAATAACATCATAATAAACTATAGAAACACACATAAATATATATTAAGGTAAATTATGTATTTAGTATCTAAATTATCAGTTTTGGTCTATTTTAGTACTTTAATTTTTTAATTTTTTAAAATAATATTTAACGTTTAGTTTTCATTTCATTTTAATACCCCATAAACTAACAGTTTTGATCCGTTTTAATACCTAAACTTTCAATCTTTTCAAAACTTAACGTTAAATTTTGAAGGGTGTATTAAAATAAAACAAAAACTAAAGTTTTTTACGGTGAGATATTAAAATTAAACAAAAATTAATAGTTTAAGTACTAACATGTAACTTACGCTATATATTATTACATCATTGTCAAATTAATATATATATATATATATATATATATATATAAAAGAATAATTATAATAATATATCTATATATTTAAAAAAATTTATTACAATGTATATAAAAAAATTTAGTACCTGAATTTCAATTTTTTCAAAATCATACTGAAAGTTTAGTTTTTGTTTCATTTTGACAAAAGGGTAACTTTTACCCCCTGTAGTAAATCCAATTTATGACTTTCGACCCTATTGAATTTTTTGCATCAATTTAGTCATTGAAGTTGTTTGATTGTATCATTCTATACTCTACCCCTAACTTAAAATCCTAAATTACAAACTCTAAACCCTAAATTACATCCCTATAACATCTAGACCATAAACCCTAATCATATACCCCAATTTAGGGTTTATAATATAATGTTTTAAGTTAGGGGTATGGTACATAATGATGCAATTAAGTAACTTTGAAGGTTAAAATGATGTGAAAATACGATAAGCGACTAAAAATGATAGTTTAGGTACTAAACACGTTAAATTTTTAATGACGGGTACTAAAATGAAACAAAAACTAAACATTAAATATGATTTAAAAAAATGAAAGTTTAGTTATTAAAACTTATCAAAACTAATAATTTAGATATTAAATGGATATTCTATTGATTTTTATGTGGGATCAGAATAACAAAAATATTAAACTCATCCATTTTGCTTCCCACACATCCATAGCTATAACCATAAAAAATGGAAGACCATTTTTATTATATCTTTATGTTTTTTTTTATTAATACGGAGTAAATATAAGGTAATATTTGTTCAAAGAAAACTCTCAATTATTTGATATTTAACGCTCACACCTCTGACATTTTTTGTACTTGGACTCGGAATCTCAAGGAATAACAACAATTTATTTATCACTGAGGTCGTTCAGTTCGTGCTTGTATCATTATGGTTTGAATAATATTATTCAAACAGTATTATCACTCATGTATTTTTTTAGCTTAATCATCGATAGAAATTTATTGATCGATTAATACAAATTATATATTATAGAGATTTATTATACGGACGGTCCTCTCGATTCAATTTACTCTATTCACTATCCTCTCGATACTTTTGAAAAGTCTTATGGGCCAAGCTTACTCAAACAGATCGAGAAAGATAAAGAGGCTAGGATTGGGCCGCTGTGTCGTGCGGCGAATATTTTCTAGATTGCGCCGGTGAAAACAATGATCGGATCGAGCGGCGCATTGATCACAATGATTATAGTAATATTTCATAAGGGTAAAAAACGTAAATAATCCTCTGACTATATTATATTATTTTATTAAGTTTATTGATTATTAAAAGTTATAAAATTATCACTTGATTATAGAATATTATTTTATTAAGTCTTTTAACTATTAAAAACTATAAAATGATCACTCAATTATTCATTACGTATCAAACTCATAATTTTCCGTTAAAAATTGACGGTATTCTAAGTTGAACGTTAACTTATTTACTGTAATTTGATAAAACTTGATTTCAAATTTTACAAAATAAAACGAATTTATAACATAATTAATAATCGTGTCACCATTTTATAGCTTTTAATGTGTCGGAAACAAGGTATGTCCCATCTCCATTCAACTGCCGATCAATGTCTTAACCGTCCATCGTACGAATCTCACAGATTTGCGGTCGATTACGTTATCCTTGCAGGCAGTTGCGGTGGCCGTCACAGATTGGTTCTTCGACCGAACAGCCGTTAAAGCCATCGACTGCCCGTACCCCTGCGACAAGACTTGTCACGACCTTGTCCTCAAGTGAGTGAGAACTTATTTACCGTAGAGGCCCCTATGGCTTCCATATTTATGGAAATTGCAACATTCATAAGTTATTGAACTTATTATCAGTTGATTTAACAATTTTATATTTATTTTAATTTTGTTGGTATTATATACAATAAAACAGATCTCACTATCTATTTCCATATTATAACCTCTTATTTACAACCCCAAAGCTATACACAAATAATTGAAAAAAAGGGATAATAATAATCTAAAATTAATCCTAAGAAATGTAATTCGGAATTGTCTTATGATAAGCGAGGAAGAATACCAAAATAGATGATATTTGAGAGTAGGCTCAGTGCTTGGCCGTGGATGCAAGTGCCACTGCTTGTGCCCACACTTTCAGCCGAGCCTTGACATCTCTAGGGTCATCACCTACACAAGTAAATAAACAATCCCCCCTCAGATGAACTGGAAAAAAAATAAAGTATAAAATGATCCTCAATTACAGGATATTGATTTATTAAGTCCATTGACTATGATCTTTCAATTCTAGAGTGTTGTTTTATTTATCATTTTTCGTTAAAAACTTAATAGTATTTTGATTTGAACGTTAATATATTGTGAATATGATATGATAAAATTTAATCTTACAATCTCAAATGTTATCGTATCACAGTTAGCAAGTTAACGTTCAACTCAAGATACTATTAATATTATAGTGAAAAATAACAAGATTGAAACACAATGAATAGTCAGATGATTATTTTATAATTTTTAATAATCGAGTGATAAAAAAAATACTTTATAATATTTGTACCCTGATTACCAAAAAAAAAAAATCAAAGCTTAGGCAATGTTTTTAACTAACCAGGGCTAGAGATACGCCAGTTAGCAATGGGGGAATTGCCACCACTACTTGTATTATCGAAGTTGGAAGCCGACAACGAAACACGACCGGGCATCTCGAACATACGCTCGTGTTCCAGCTCGAACCCGAGATCCCGACACGCTTTCACTTCCCCCAAGTCCATACACAACGACCTGTTCCCACCTTTCGCTCGCGTAATCACCATGACACCACCGCCTTCACTTTCCCCACTGAAACTCCCACTGTAATTGTTGTACCCCGCCGTTAGGTCCCCGTCTTTCTTCTTGCTCTCGCTTTTAGCGCCGCCGCTCACCTCCGCCCATCTCTCCCTTATAACCCTCCTCTTCCTCGAACTCTTGCTCCGGCTGCTCATCCCTCTCGGCCTCCCGATACTCCCCTTCTGAGCTTCGTTGTCGCTGGCGTAATCTTTGACCACCGTCAACGTCCCGGTCCTCCGACGAGGCGGCGTTGCGGGAAGCGAGTTACAGCTAGGCTCTTGGTCGGAGTCTGACGACAGCTCGAGAAACTTCTTCCCGGAGAACTCATCGTCCACATCCGCATCGAAGCTTTCGATCGACAGTCTCGACATGTACATAGACATCCCCATACGATCATCATCATAATCATCACCATCGTTAGTGTACACGGAACTAGTACACATGGAAAGCCTGGACCAGTTATGTGGATGAAACCCAACATCAAGATCATCGTACTCATCGTCTTGCATAGATGAAACAACCGTCATACTTTCATCTGATGCCATTTTGGTGTCGTTTAGGGTTTTGTTCATCAATATTGTTGTTGTTTTATTTCATGATGAGATAAATAGATAAAATGAAAGCTCTCTGCTTCGGCCACACAATTTATACTTGCAAAATCTCACCATCTTGGTTCATTTACTCACTCAACAACATTATTTTTTTTATTCTTTTGAATAATTTATATTTGGCAAAAACAATTAATAATTGAAAATGTTAAGATCTCCACGCGGCAACACCGAGACAAATGGCGTAGAGAATCAGCCGAAGAAGAAAGTGTCCCCACACCACTTGGTCTACAACACGTAGCTTCGGACAACTTCCTTAGCTGCTGCTAAAACTATCAATTTTTTTTCAAAACTTAACTTTTTTTTATTAAGTCGGATAAGTACAAACCAGTATATGTTCAAAGATAACTCTCAACCTCTTGATATTGAACGCACATACCCTGACATTCTCAATGCTCGAACCTGGGTCCTCAAAGAACAACAACAATTCTTTTATCACGGAGGCTACTTGGTTCGTGTTCAAAACTTAACGTTAAATTTTGAACAGATACACTAAAATGAAACAAAAACTAAACTTTATGTATGATTTTAAAAAAATTGAAAGTGTAAATACTAAAAGGATCAAAATCGATAGCTTATATACTAAGCAAGTAATTTACCCCTTTTGTTTTTCAGGTTCCGATCTAACTCAGTGAGCCATGTATAAATGAAAGAGGTGAAAATGAAATATGCATTAATTGCATGATAGTATTGAATGTAATTTGGTGCACGGTCCCGGTCACCTAGTGTTATTATTATTAGCGTAAATTATATAAATAGCCTCCAAATTTTTAGGATATTTGCATTTTTATTATCCAACTTATGAAACTTGCAATACGGTCAATAAACTTTTAATTCGTTTTCAATATTATTACCGTTACCTCCGTTAGTTTTTGCGCATTTAACATTCCGTTAACCTTCTTTTTATTGCTAACGCGACAGTTATCCCTTTTTCTTTCATCTTCTTTTCAACTCCCGTTGACCCTTCTTCTTCTTCTTCTTCTTCTTCTTCTTCTTCTTCTTCTTCTTCTTCTTCTTCTTCTCCTCTCCTAATCCTACTCATTCTCTCTCTCTCTCTAGAACCAAGTTAAGCATTGCCCATTCGATGCTCTGTTGTCTTGGGTTGGGAAAATTTAATCCCACCGCAAGAAAACAGGGATGAGAGTGACATTGTAAATGAAACTCTCAAGATTTACGTGGAGAAGGGACTTATCCAGCCGGTTTTGAAGAAAAACATATTAGAGCCCAGAAGCTACAAGATGGACCCGATTGTTCGTTCGTGCTTGATCAGTTTTGCAAGGGAGGCAGGTTTCTTTGACAATGACCAAGAGGGAAAACCCATCCATGGATTTTTCAACCTGCAACAAGGCATGTATGGTGAGATCTGAAGGAGCCGTTGCTCCCTGGTTCTCCAAGTATCTTAAAGGAAGTGACAATGATGAAGCTAATGAAGAATCACAAAACCCTAAAGAGCAGCAGGAGCAAGAAAAACTAACCGTAGATCTAGTAAAGCTACAGATGATGATCAATTTTCCTAACAAGGAAACATTTGATGAAGGCTAGTCGGCAATTTGACAAATTGCAGACGTTGTTCAATTTGAGTAAGCAATTTTCAGGTTTACCTAAGGAGTGGTTTGCCAAGATGACGACCCTCAAAGTTCTTTACATGGGCAAATGGGAAACCACGGCGGGGCGGCCTCGCCATATCGAGGTCGAAGACATCGACTGCTTAAAAGAGTAAAAGAAGATGAAGAATCTAAGGCTTTTTAGCCTTCAAGGTGTTTCAGGTATCGCAACGATTGTCGGCTCTGTTGGGCAGCTTGAAAACTTGAAGATATTATATCTTAGGGCATGTCACAACCTGGAGAGATTACCAGACAAGATGGGGTTACTCAAGGAGCTGATTTACTTGGATTTATCTGAGTGCTATCTGCTTGTTTACGTGCCCAGAAAGCTGAGTGAACTCAAGAAACTTGACGTGCTTAAAGGTTTTGTGATTGTGTATACCAAAAACTCCTGCACTCTAGCCGACTTGTCAAAGTTAGAGAAACTGAGAAAACTAAGCATCAATGTCAACACGACGAACTTCAATATTAATGATGCAAAGGAGTCCCTGGATAAATTCAAGCAACTTAAAAAGCTAAGGATAGCGTGGAGATCAAGGCAGTAGTATCGAACTGCCACCACCCAAGGCCAAGAAGCAGCAATCTCCAAGTAGTTCAGCAATAGACCAAGACAACAGGAGGAAGCAGCAGCCGCCAAGTGGTTCAGCAACAGACCAAGACAACAGGAGGCGACCGGTAGATGTTTTCAGAAGTTTTAGAGAGAGAGAGTGAGAAAGAATGAGTTGGATTAGGAAAGAAGAAGAAGAAGAAAAAATAAGAACAAGGGTCAATAGGGAGTTGAAGAAGAGGAAGAAAGAAGAAGGGGTAACTACCATGTCAAGAAAGAAAAAGAAAAAAAAGGTTAAAGGATGGTTAACTGTTACGTCAGCAAAAATTACGTCACCTAATGACAAGGATCTTCCTGAAAATGAATTAAAAATTTAAAGATCGTATTGTAAATTTTAAAAGTTGAATGAACAAAATACAAATACCTTAAAAATTCAGAGACTATTTATATAGTTTACCCTTATTATTATTATTATTATTATTATTATTATTATTATTATTATTATTATTATTATATTATTATTATTATTATCAGTCCACCTACATTCCTCAATAGAATCAATTATTTCACCTTTGCTTCCACTCAAGGTGTTCCACAAACAATAAAACACGCCTATAAAAATAATGGAGATGCAGGGATTTTTTAAAGTAAATATATATATATATATATTAATTAATTAATTATATAAAATTTGTATATAAAATAGACACGATTAAAATTTTAAAAATTTCAAGATGAACGCAACTATTGAAATATATAATTATATAAAGAAAATTTAAATTTTAGAGTAGTCGCGTGATCACTTTGTATCCTTAATAAACCCACCATTACATGTAAATATTTGATTTTAAGTTATTTATTTTTAAAATTCATTCAAATTCAATAAATATTTGATTTCACCTTGGATCGCTTTTCCTTTTGCTGTAATTTTTTTCATCGTTTGAGGGTTTCTTCCATTGAAATGATAATCGAATTTTTCTTATTCTTCGTCTAAAAATCTTTCAATCTCCTCAAATCTTAGTTGAAGCTAAACGGTTAAAATTTTATGATCAACCGTCTAGTCAAATAAAAATTAAACTACATTAACCTTATGAAAAATTAGAACCTTCCCGCTATTGAAATTGATCGATGACCATATTTTTTTATTGAAAATATGCAAAAGTCGAGATGAATAATCTTTATTTCTCTTCTTTTTCTTTACTTCTTTACTTATTTTTGTCGTTAATTATTTTATCAATTGCTATTTATGATTGTGATTGTAAACGTTGATTGAAATAATGTCATAAGGTTATTTTATCTATGCGATGGCTGCCATTTTATTAAATGTAAGTTTTAAAAAAGTTGGTGATTATAATACAAATTTGGCAAAAAGATAATGAGGTCGTTACACTTTTAAAAAATCAATGTGACACTCATCATATTTTTTTGGATCAACGTGACCCCCAACTCATAAAACAAATTCAATGTGCCATTTGGTCAACATTTTTCATCGTTGACAGTTAAAGTGCTGACGTTACGACCCATTATGTTGATGTGGTAGTTCACGATACTAACGTGATATTCCACTGTGATAGATGACATGACAAATAAGTTAAATTAGTTTTTATGTTTTATTCGAGGACTAAATTGATTTTGTTTAAGTTCAAGCACTTATTTAATTTTACCATTTCTTTATAGAAATGAAGTGATTAAAATCTACATTGGGAGGGAGATGGAGAACGAAAAAGAATGTATTGTCCTTATTATTGGTCTAAATAGTGTGCTTAAATAACAAGAAGAAAGCAGTTTACTTCCAACTTAGTCTGCTTAAATAAGAGCTTCAAGCTCTCTCAACACGAGCCGAAGCTGCAATGCCGAAAACTATATGATGAAGGGTTGTTTTTTGCGAGGAGTTCGGTTTTGGAGATGAAACGGGCGGCGAAGCAGTGGCTATGGATTTCTCTCCGGCATTAACATGAACTGCTTGGATGATGTTCGGTTCTTTGTTCGAAGCGTTCGGGAAGCTGTCTGTGTAGAAGATGCAGAGAATGGAAATCAAAAGGAGGGAAGAAAGTACAAACTTGGGGAAAGTCCAGGAAACAGTGAAATGGATTCTCAAGCTTTGATCCCATTGGAAGTCATCTTCAACCTTTGGATTGTCTTTCATGGTCATGGAAAGTTTTTTTTATAAAAAAAGACCTTGGATTTTCCGGGTGTTGATGACTGGAGATCTAATCCTAGATTCCAAGCTCTAACTCATGGAAACATGGACTTTTCCACATAAAAATCTCTGTTCAGAGGAATATTAGACGGAGCGAGGAAAGAAGAGAAAAAAATGGAGAGATATGTTGGAGCTGAAGTGGCAGAGTATTAGAGACAAATGGCAACCCCTTTTCCAATGAGATCCTTTCGTTTTAACTCAAATAATAGTCATTGAACTTGGCCCAAGTTCATACTCGCTACAAAATTACAACGGACCTGGGCTTGTTCTCATCAAGCCACTTAAAAAATCCGAACTCATTGTGAGGCCTTGCTGACGCCGTAGGCATCAACTTTTTAGTGCCATTTAATGCATAAATGGTACCAAAACTGTCCACGGCCTCGGTAGGCTAAAATGATGGGGAGATGACCTATTGTGGGGCTCGCATTAAACATTTATTGAGATGAATATCGACTCATTCGGCCATCACCAAACAGACAATCCAGTTTGGTGACCATAAATTTCATGAAAGCTTTAAGCAACTCCTCAAACACTGGTATTCCTTGAAGCAGGAGTTCAATAACATCTATATTCTTGACATTTCTATCGCTCGAACCCGATACTTCAAAGAATAACAACATAGAAAAATATGTCAAGCATAGAGAAAGGTGTCAATCATTTTATCTTTTCCTTCTTGTATGATACATCTATTGATTTGCAGCTCCATTTTCCTTGAGATACTCCACAAATCTGTTGAAATAAGTATCTTGCAAGTCTCTGTTCCCAAAAACTTGAGCTGCTTCTCTTGCTCGGCTTCTTAGCTTCTCTCCTCCTCCCGACACCATTGCAAGCCTCAGAGCCTTGGCAATGTCATCTCTGCCAAACGAACCATCCTCACTTCTCTCGATTTCCACAGCCAAACCCTTGTCTACGAGTAGCCTCGCATTCAAGGGTTGGTCTATCACAAAAGGCAGCACCACGAGAGAGTGTCCGAACTGGAGCGTTTCGATGACAGAACCCCAACCAGAGTGAAATAAAGATCCCCCAATCGAAGGGTGTCCCAATATCTCCATCTGCGGTGCCCAACCAAAGCAGACAACACCTCTCCCTTGCGTACGCTCTCTAAAACCACAAGGCAACGTATCGAGTTCATTAACAGCCCAATCCGGTTTCCTTAGTGCCCATAAAAACGGCAACCCCGACAGCTCTACCCCATAGGCTATCTCCTGTACTTGTTCTTTAATCAGTTTGCACTCGCTCCCAAACCCTACGAACACAACCGAGTTAGCCCTTTGAACATCGAGCCACCCAAAGATATCATTGATTGTTCTTCCTTTGGGCTTTTCTGGTAATAGTAAACCAATAGGAAACACTGGTTTGTGTTTCTCGCCGCCAACTATCTTCTCGAATAGGTTCAAGTATTCAGCTTCAAATTCAGGGCAAGTACGAATAGCAACAGCTTTAGATGCCTGAATAACTTTAGCAACCCTTTGATCGTCGGATATACCAGTAGCATTCACTCCATAATAGCCCTCATGAATGCAAGTGGCCAAGAATCTAGGATAAGCCAACGGTGAAGGAAAATCAAACCATTCAGGCGCTGATGTCCAACTTTCTGGCGAAGACCTCGTTTTCTTCTGGCCATCAGCACCGGTGACCAGCGTTGGAGTTACAAAGAAACTTAAAGCAGCAGCTGAAAAAACCGAGAAATGAACCAGAGGGGTATAGTGTTCCTTAGCTATTTCCACCACCCAGTAAGGGATCACATCAGCCAATATCCAATCCGGCTTTTGATCTATGACGAACTGCTTCACTGGATGTCGAAGCAAATCGTAGGCAATCTTCAGGTATTGGATATTCTCGGAAGGTATATCCACGGTGGCCTCGCAGCCTTGGGGCAAGAGCTGCTCGTTATCTAAGCTCGGCAATGGAAAGGCCACTAATTCTAGAAGATAGGCTATATTTGATGGAACTTGAGGGAGTCTTCTGATGTTGGCAGGGGTTGAAACGAAGGATACCCTGATTCCAGCTTTTGCTAACTGTAGAGAGAGTTGAAAGAATGGCATCAGATGGCCAAAAGCTAGCCATGGAACCATCACTACATGCAGATTGGTAGCCATAGCTCTAACCAAGGTAATCAAGGTTTCTGACCAGGAACCAGATGCCAACACCAATATATAAAAGGGGAATGATCGTCTTATTATTCTAGATCAACCCACATTGTACACTTGATTTTAATAAATAAGTTCTCCAACTAATTTTTTTTTGCATAAACAATGATTTAAATAAAAAATAAACATGAAATTAAAATAAATATAGTTTTAAATTTTTTTAATAATATATTATCCTGCATCATAGAATTTTATTTTATTAATGCACAGAATTGTTGATATTTTCTATCCTTCAACGGCATTGCTTGTCCACAAAATCTTTATCCTCTCGAAAACGATACCAACCAGACCTAATCATTTTTATTATAATTTTAAAAAAATAAATTCTCTTATCATATCTTAACATACATATAAAGTTAATACTATTGTTGAAGTTATATATTTACATAAATAATACAAAAAAATAAAGAACTATCATCTTTATTTTCAAAATTTAACTATTTTTTTTATTTTTATATATTGTTTAAAATTATTATTTTTTAAACTTCAAAGAAATTATGTCTTCGAATAGTTTTATTCTAAATTTATTTTTACATGAACGTAACTTTAATAGTTAGGTAAACTATGCAAATAGTTCCTTTTATTTTCAGATTTGACATATTTTTATCATTAATTTAAAATTTAAGGATAAATAGATTCTAATTTTATCGATCTGTTCGGTTTAAGCTCTTCTGTCATTAAGTTTTATTAAATAATTAACAGAAATATTATGTGATAATTTATAAATGTAAGTTTTAAAAAAATTTGGTGATTATAATGCAAATTTGGCAAAAAGACAGTGAGGTCCCTGAACTTTAAAAAAAATCAACGTGACCCTCATCATATTTTTTTTTATCAATGTGGCCTCCCAACTCAGAAAACAAACTCAATATGGCCCTTTGGCCAGTTAAAGTGCTGATGTTACGACCCATTATGCTGATGTGATAATTCACGGTACTAACGTGACATTCCACTGTGATAGATGACGTGGCAAATAGGTTAAATTGGTTTTCATGTTTTATTCGAATTGATTTTGTTTACGTTAAAGGACTTATTTAATTTTACCATTTCTTTATAGAAATGAAGCGATTAAAATCTACATTGGGAGGGAGATGGAGAACAAAAAAGAAAGCATTATCCTTATTATTGGTCTAAATAGTGTCAATTCAAAATTCAAAGTGAAAGACCGTTGCAAGAAAATAGTCGACCGGGTTAACCGGTTGGTTTCGTGTGTCTGTGAAGCCGATGCATGTGACCGCGTTTCAAGAGCCAGCTGTCCCGAAAACGACAAGGACCTTAATGCCGTATTTTCCAAACCAAACATTACGGCCCAACTGTGGTCCAACCTGACCTAGGCCCGAATGAGGCACATATTTTTACCACGTGCTCTCCTCATCAAGCACCCAACACATCATGATTTTTGCTCCTTTTAATTTTAGGGTAAATTACGCATTTAATATTCTAAACTATCAATTTTAATAAACTTTTAATTTTTTCAAAACATACATAACGTTTAGTTTTTGTTTCATTTTAGGATCATATCATTAAAACCTAATAAACGGGCTGACGGGGCATAGCTCTAGTGGACGGACGGCCAATCCGAATAGTGGATCACGAGAGAATGACGAGTTGATCAACATAGTCCAGTTTCAAGCTCATCGAACGATTGATGACGAAGATCGAAAGATAAAGAAGTCAAAGAGACCATAATTGATTTGGGGAGATTGAGGTATTTTTAGGTAAAACAGTGTCCGAAATCACGTTGAAGGGAGCAAAAAGGTGCAAGCTGAAAAGTTTGGGTTTCATCGGTCGACAGATGCGATGGTTGACAACTTTAGACGCGACGGATGATGAGGCTGTCCTTTAAGTTTTTAATGACGAAGCACTAAAATGAAACAAAAACTAAACATTATATATGATTAAAAAAATTGAAAGTTTAGGTACTAAACACTTCATTTACCCTTAATTTTATTTATAATGAATTGTTTAATATATTAATATTTTTAATTTTACAACGTGATCACTGACGTGGTTGTGATAATGACAGTGATGCTTACACGAGTTAAATGAGAATATATATGTATATATTTTAAGGTTTAAATGTAACATTGTCCCTTAAATTATATCGTTTGTATCGAGTTATTTGTAAAGTATTTTTTAAGACGTTTTATCCTTTGAACTTTAAATCATTATCTCCTTTGTCCCAAACCGTTAACTCTGTTAAAAAAATACAAGTATAAATTACATATTCAATCATTCAACTATTCATGAGGTTTCATTTTGGTCACCTTAACTAGTTTTTTTAAATCATCTCTAAACTTAAGTTTTTGTTTCGTTTTAATCATCTAATTCGATTCGATTTATTTCTTAAATTTTAATATATGAAAATTCATTTATATCACATATTTTTTTACTCGACACATATTTTTAATTTATAATAATAAATAATAATATAAACTACATAAAAAATTTCTAAAAACACTCACACCCATGAGTAATTACCTCGCATATATAACAAAATTTTATATTGAAAGAGAAGAGATACAAACACATTAAAGTAACAAATCCCGAGATTCCACATAGAGAAGCTTTCAATGCAGCGGCTAAAAATATATGATCACATTATCAAAGTAGATTATTATTTACTATTATAAATTAAATTTATGTCTTGGGTAAAAATATTTGATATAAAAAATTCTTATATTATAAATTTTAAAATATAAATCAAATCGAATTGGGTGATAAAAAGAAATAAAAAATCGATTTTGTGATGATTTGAAAAATGAAATAGATAAGGTGATCAAAATAGAACAGTAATAATAGTTAAATGGTTAAATATATAATTTATACTCGTGTCTTTGACGGGTTAACAATTTAAGACAAATAAAATAACAACAAATAATAAAATATCTTAAATAATATTTTTATGGAGCAACTCGATACAAAATGATAATTAGGAAGACAATAGCGCATTTATACCAGTTTTTAAATTCCACCATTGAATAAAGTGACTGACGTGCAAGTTGAACAGAATTAGAAGCGAAGCCTGTATAGATCAGGCCGTAGTTCCAGGCCCTAAATCATTTCAGACCTATTACGGCATTTTTAACAAAATCTTAGCTTCAGCCTTCCTCTCTAATTAGGGATAAATATAAGTCGGGTTAGGTTAGATTTTTGGTAAATCTGATCGAATTTGAAGATATATATTTTTTGTCTAGAATTTCCAACCCGAAATTTGGGGTGATTTTACCCTACCCGAATGTGGCCCATTTTTTGAGACAACCTTAACGTGACCCGTCCTAACCCGAAATAAATATATCTATAAAAATATTATTTTTATTTAATAAAAATATGGATATAATTAAAAATAATAATATATACAATGTTATTATTGAAATTATCTCTAAGATAAATTTATATTACTTTTCGAGTCGGATAAGGTATATTTTTTTTACTATAAACAAGAACTCGATTTGAACCTGATTTTTTTTAACAAATTTAACCTAATTAAATTTGATCCAGTCTAAACCCATCCAATTCAGATATCGTGAACAAAGAATCAAACTAAACTTCATCATTGAGATGCATAGTATAAGCAGGGATGATTTGAATTTAATTAACCTTTTTTAATTAATCATTAGTAAAAGATATATTGATCGACTAATCTATATCGAATACTATAGAGACAAATACGACCTTTCCAACTCAGTTTGTTCTGTACGCAAACATTAAGATTTGAACCCCCTAATCTTACTCAAATAATCTAGTGTCAAATCTCACTAGATCAACGAGTTATGGGTGAATTTAATTAACTTTGATTTGATCCAATTTTATAAAAAAAAATTAAAATCTTAAAATAAAAAATAATTAAATTTAAGTTAGTTTGAATTCATAAATAATAAAAATAAAATTAATATTGGAAGTGTCTTTGCTTTATAAAGTGTTTCTTAAGATAATGTTGGTGTCGGAAAGGAGTTACAAGACAGCACCACTTCTATGGCTCTTATTACATTGCCTGTCGCTTTCCCATCCGCGTGTACGGACCAGAAAGTTCAGTTAACTCTCAATTTCATTTATTTCTTTCTGTTTTTCTCTTACCTAAGCATGAAGTGGCATTGACCCTTATTTTTTTAATAAATTACGTATTTATTACTTAAATTATTAATTTAACTCATTTTAACACCTAAACTTTTAATTTTTTTAAAATTATACCTAAAGTTATTTGTTTTATTTTAGTATTTCTTTAAAAATTTAACGTAAAATTTTGATTTGTTTTAAAAATTTAGGTATTAAAATGAATCAAAAATAATAATTTAGGTACTAAAAAGGTTAAACTTTTAACGGCGAATATTAAAATGAAACAAAAAATAACAGTTAATTATGATTTTGAAAAAATTAAAAAATTAGATATTAAAATAGACTAAAATTGATAGTTTATATATTAAATATGTAGTATATAAAAACCTATGAATCAATAATTTTTCGAATACGATACTTTAAATAATAATGTCATATAACGACTAATGTCAAATAATTAAAAATTATATTTAAATAATATTATAAAAACCTATGAATCAATAATTTTTCGAATCGGAGACTCTAAAGAATAATGACAAATCCTTACTGAATCACTGATTTCGTGCCAACATTTCAGTGTACAAATATGGTCATATTGCAACAAGGCAGAGTAAAAGACACAAAGAACAAGAACAATAAAAAGAACAGGCCGATAGATGCAAGAGCTAAACATGTTCAAAAGCAGCCGTGAGTCTCTGGATATCCTTACCACATATATCGGGATTTTGTAAAGGATGCTCTTAGTTCTGACTATGACCCCACACAGTGCTCGACGATGACGATGAATTCAAGAAACATGGTTCTGATTTTATCTCCATGTGGAACAAAGATTGTGGCGTTTGATTCTGCAAAGCATCCGCCATTAACAGAGGGTTGTTGAGATATTCACTCAATTTGGGTTCTTCTTCCTGGTTTTCCATTAATCCCCAAGAGAACCCGCTGTTCCCGTAGCAGGATTCGTAGGTTGCCGCCGTTGAAGGACTGTCGGAGAGGAATGTGCTTGTCAATGGTGGGAGAAGGGTTGTTGACGTCATCGAGTTTGAAGAAAACTCGGTGTTGGTACCGAAAGCTTTGCTGGTTTGGGTGAACCAGTGAGTCGGGTTCGAGTTAGATGGCTGCATTTCAAAATGACCCACCGAATCAGACGGCTGAGTATTGCTGTTGGAACCAATAAGGTTCTGTTCATCCGATGCGGGATGAATCTTGTTGCCGTCTTCGCCATCTTCAACCTCTGATAATGGCTTGTGCGTGACAGGGTCGATACCCCTCTGCTTAAGCTTCTTCTTCAAGCAAGAATTCCATAGATTCTTGATTTCGTTGTCGGTTCTCCCAGGCAATTGTGCAGCTATTTGGGACCACCTGAAGAAGACGAAAACAAAAAACAATTCTTACAGAGTTCTGCAATAAAAAAACACTAACAATAATAATTATACCGATTCCCCAGAACTGCATGGAGCTCAATTATGAGATCTTCTTCTTCCTGAGAGAATGTGCCCCTCTTTAAATCAGGCCTCAAGTAATTAATCCACCTCAATCTGCAACTCTTTCCACACCTCTGCAGACCTGCAAAATCATTCATATTTTAGCAGCGATTCATCAATACATGTATATAGTTGCTTGAGAAAAATACCAGCTTGTTTAGGGATGGAACTCCAGCAACCATGGCCGTACTTGGTAATATGCGCCAAGAGCTTTTCGTCTTCTTCAGGGGACCAAAGACCCCTTCTCAGCTTCTGCTTGTAACAGCACGAGTGCCTCCCCATTTCGAGACCGACCAAATTACAATGAGTTAAAGAAGCAGCAACACAAACTTCACTGATTCCTAGGTGAAATTGTCAGGAATCAACAATGTCTTGAAAGAAAAGAAAACAGAGGGTTTTTGGTATGGTGAGGGTGGAAAATGAAGTGGCAGCTGAGAAAGGGAGTTAGAATTACTATATAAGGGGAGGGTTTCAAGAAGGCAAAGTCGCATTCAATAAGCGTCCATAGTTTCTCTCTCTCGACCTACTTCCCTTCCACACCCGGTGTGAAACATTATTTTTCTCATAGCTGAGTTAATAACTCGAGTTGCAAGTGTCTCATCAAAAGTCTTTGAGAGACGATGCTTCTGCAGGGATGGTGGGACATTCTCCTTTTCCTGGTATGCGAGCTTAATATTAAGGAGTATATCATAATTAAAGTAAATAAAATTTGATCCAATGGGAAAAAGGGTTAAGTCCTTTATTCTTTTATTCCATGATCTTTTCCGGGTAATTCTTCCAGATCATCATCACTTTGAAAAGTTCCATCATTACCCTATAAAGAACGATTATGATTTGTTCATGTTCGGAAATTAACAATTCCATTCAACGGTATAGATTTAGCTTGCACCAACACGTACGCTTTCCCATTTATGTAAAAAAAATGCTTGCTTCACAGGGCAATGACCTAGAATCCAGAAACAGACCAAAACTTGCTATCTTCTTCATGCATGCATATATACACGTATGTTTATACGTAATGCTAAAAATGAAGCTTTGTACCAACCAGATTATTTGAAGTGATAAGTAGTTTGATACCGATTAAGTAGGTCTCGAGTTTAAGTATTTTTGTATGCAGAAAATCCTCGTTATAAATTACCCCAACGCCAAATTAGGTAGGGTAGTAGGCTGTCCCCAACGCCAAATTGAGAGCAACTTCCGTGGAAGACCTCCGTTATAAATTACCCTCAGTAAGACTCGATCCCACGACCACAAGATTAAAAGTCTTGTGCTCTACCGACTGAGATTAATTTTTTTAATCCACAATGGCATCTATTATTTGAATCCAGACCATAACACAATTAGCAAATTGCTTAATTTTTCAACCCTCTTTAACCAGGTGATACAGACAGCTTCCTTGGACCAATGGAAATCGGTCTTTAGGACAGATTTGCCAGAAAAGTTGATAGATTTTTTCTTTCTTTTCGGGAAAGTTGAGAAACGTAGAATTTCCTCATCTTCAATTGGGGATGGTGATTTCACCCCATCCGACAAGTTTCGACCTTATCTAATTTCATTTGATCAATTTTTTTCTAAAAAAAAATCAAATTCGAGTTAGATCGGATCAGAATTTTGAATGTTGAAATCGAATCAAGTTTGGATTTGTTGGAGGATAGAAGAATTCTGACCTGATCTGATCTGATCTAAATATAATATATAATTCTCTTTTAAAAAATATTATTATTTTAATTAAATCCTTAATTTATATCGGATCAAGTCAAGTTGCATTTATACTCTAAAAAATCAGGTCATATGAAAGTCGAGTGAAAAATATATATTTTTCGAATCAGATCAAATTAAATTTGAATGGAGAGTACATATTTTCGAGTCAGATCAAATTGAAAAAAAATCCAACCTAAACTCCACCCATTGCCATCCCTATCTTCCATCCCAAAGGCAATGGACATTTTCCTTTTTCATAAACTTTTAATGTATAATTTAATATTTAATATACTAATTACATACAAATCTATACCCAGTTATAATAATATATTATAAAAGATAAAATAGTAACTTTTACCCTTGTAGTATACTCAATTTATCACTTTCATCCTACTCCTAATATTTAGTCTTTGAAGTTGTTTAATTTTATCATTCTATATCATACCCCCAACTTAAAACCCTAAATTATAAATCATAAACATAAACCCTAAATCATAACCATATAATCTATGAACCATAAACCCTAATTCTAACTTAGGCTTTATAATCAAGGGTTTTAAGTTAATGGCAGGATATAGAACGATACAATTAAACAATTTTGAGAGTTAAATTGATACGAAAATACGATAAAGATTAAAATAATAAATTGAATCCACTATAAATATAAAAGTGACCTTTAAGTCATTATAAAAAGATAAAATTTAAATCATTAATATTCTTATAAAATATATACTATCATAGTTATAGACAGTGTGCGGGATCATGGCGGCAGGGTATGCCGATTTGGAATTCCCATTACTACACCGACAGATTTCATAATTATTATTTATTAGGGTAAAGTACACAAATGATCTCTTAATTATATGATATTCTTTCATTATGTTCTTCAACTAATAAAAATTACAAAATGATCATTCGAGTATGGAATGTTACTTTGTTAAGTCTCTCGACTATTAAAATTTGCAAAATGGTCCCCTGACATTATTATGTTCCAAACTCATGCTTTCGTTAAAAGATTAGTGGTTATCTAAGTTGGCTGTTAATATGATAATTGATATATGATAGTGGTTTGAGATTCCGGGATCATATCTTATCATACAGTCAGTAGATTAACGCTTAGCTCAGAATACCGTCAATTTTTTAATGAAAATGACGATTTTAGAACATAATGAATAATTGAGTGACTATTTTATAACTTTTAATTGTCGAAAGACTCAACGAAACAACATTATATAGTATGATGATCATTTTATAATTTTTCATAGTCGAAGGATTTAATAAAATAATACCCTATAATCGGGACCATTTGTATACTTTACCCTGTTTATTTATTGTATATTCAATCATTTTCTTTTTTTGTTTGATTCCTTTTGAGATATCAGAATTAAATCTATTATTTCGAAAATAATTAACATTACGGAGCAGGACCAAATACTATGATTAAGCAAATTCATTGTTTATGTTAGAATACGATGGAAAAGATCCTCTATATATTTATTAATTGGCACAATATTTATTAATTGGCACAAATCGAGTAATCTCGATGGTAAAGAAATTAATTGTTAATCACTACAGTAAAATAGTTCTACAGCGGCGTTTTGGGTGTAAACGTCACTAAATTTAAACATATAGCGACGTTTAAACTCCAAACGCCACAAAATAGTAACTTTAGATTGAGGACATATGGTACGATTAACTCTTAAAATATATTGAGACTATACTAGCTAGTTGACCCTATTTTCATATGTAATAGGGGTAAGAGGAGGTAGGGTAGTAGGTTGGTCCCAACGCCAAGTTGAGAGCTGCTTCCGTGGAAGACCTCCGTTATAAATTACCCTCAGTAAGACTCGATCCCACGACCACAAGATTAAGAGTCTTGTGCTCTACCAATTGAGATTAATTTTTTTTTAATCCACACTGGCATATATTATTTGAATCCAGACCATAACACAATTAGCAAATTGCTTAATTTTTCAACCTTCTTTAACCAGTTGATACAGACAGCTCCCTCGGACCAATGGAAATCGGTCTTTAGGACAGATTTGTAAGAAAAGTTGGTAGATTTTTCTTTCTTTCGGGAAAGTTGAGAAACGTAGAATTTCCTCATCTTCCATCGGGGATGGTGATTTCACCCCCATCGTCGGTTTCGACCTTATCTAATTTCATTTGGTCGAATTTTTTTATATAAATAAAAAAATCAGATTCATGTTAGGTCGGATCAGATTTTCGAAGGGGTAAAATCAAGTCAAGTTCGGGTTCATGTAGATTACGGAAAAACATATGATCCAAAGAAAATAATGTAATTCTCTTAAAAATTATTATTATTTTAATTAAATCTTTAATTTATATTAGGTCGGGTCGGGTCGGATTGCATTTATTCTATAAAAAATCAGGTTATATCATAGTCGAATGAAAAATATATATTTTTCGGATCATATCAAATCAAATTCGAATAAAAAATACATATTTTCAGATTAAATCGGGTTGATCAAACCAACCAAAACTCCACCCGGTTGCCATCTCTATCTTCCATCCCAAAGGCAATGGACCTTTTCCTTTTTCATAAACTTTTTAATATATAATTTAATATTTAATATATTAATTACATAGAAATCTATACCCAATTATAATAATATTTATAAAAGGTAAAAGGATAATTTTTGCTTTTGTATTTGACTTAATTTATCATTTTCATCTTTATCATATTCTCGTATCAATTTAGTCTTTGAAATTGTTTAATTATATTATTATATATCTTACCCTAACTTAAAAACATAAATTATAAACCCTAAATCATAACCATATAACCTTTAAACCATAAACCCTAATTCTAACTTAGGTTTTATAATTAAAGGTTTTAAGTCGAGGATAAGTTATAGAAAGATGCAATTAAAAATTTGAGGGTTAAATTAATATGAAAATACGATAAGAATGTAAATTATAATCTCATTCCACTATAATAACAAAAATGACCCTTAAACCATTATAAAAAGATAAAAATTTAATTCATTAATATTCTTATAAAATATATACTATCATGGTTATAGACAAAATTGTCATTCGACTATAGAATGTTACTTTTTTTAAGTCTCTCGACCATTAAAAGTTGTAAAATGGTCACATGACTATTTATTATGTTCCAAACTCATATGTTTTCGTTAAAAGATTAGTGGTTATCTAAGTTGGCCGTTAATATGATGGTTGAGATATGATAGTCGTTTGAGATTTTGGGAGAATATTTTATCATATCACGGTCAGCAGATTATCGCTCAGCTCATAATACTACCAATTTTTTAACGAAAAATGATGATTTTAGAATATAATGAATAATTCAATCTTTTAATAGTCGAAAGACACAACAAAACAATATTGTATAGTCTAAGGAACATTTTATAACTTTTCATAGTCGAAAGATTTAATAAAGTAGTATTCTATAGTCGGAGAGCATTTGTATACTTTACCCTATTTATTTATTTATTACATATTCAATCATTTTCCTTTTTGTTTGCTTCCTTTTAAGATATCAGAATTAAATCTATTATTACTTAAAATTAACATTACGGAGCAGGACCAAATACTATGCTTAAGCAAATTCATTGTTTATGTTAGAACAATACGGTGGAAGAGATCCTCCATATCTTATCTCTATATAATTATTAATCGGAACCAACCAAGTAATCTCGATGGTAAATAAATTAATTGTTATTCATTGAAGTTTTGGGTTCGAGCACGAGGAATGTCAAGGGTGTGAAAGTTCATATCAAATGGTTAATAATTATTTTTGAACAGATATTGCCTCGTACTTACTCCATATTTATCAATATATATTAATTGGCATAATGTCAAAATTAACTCCCAACGTTTATCAAAATGGTCATTTTTTCCCATTTTATTTTTGGAGCAATTTATCCCCAACGTTTCATTTTAGAGCAAAAAGACCCCTAACATTTAATAGAATAATTACTTTGTCCTTTATTCTTTTTTTTTTCTGAGGCATTTTAGCCCTCACCGTTGCACTTTAGGTCAAAAAATGTTTTTATTTTGGAGCGTCAATCGTGTGTTAACAAATTATTTTCATTTAAGGAGGAAGTTTTTTATCCCAAAGTGAAACGTTAGAAGCTAAAATGCTTCAAAAATAAGAATAGAAACTAAAATGATCATTTTAATAAATATTGGGGCTAATTTTTAGTATCATGCCTTATTAATTTCAAGATGTAGGAAGATAATTAGGGTTAGGGTTTGCATGGAAAAAGAATTCTTTTTTTGCAAATTGCATGTATATAGAGTTTCGTGGAAATGCAAATTTTCCATTAAAAACTGTTAATGAATCATCTTTTTAATAAAATTTAAAATTGAATATTATAAATAAAGAATAAATTAATATTAAAATGATTTTTATTTCTTATTTAAAAACAAATATAATTTATTATTAGATACTGATATTTCAAGAAAAAAAACTATGACCATCTTAGGCTTCGTTGATCTTAGCAATGTCCTAATCTACATATATAAAATGAGCAAAAAATGTATATATACATGCTCAATTAGAAACTATTGTTAAAGAGAAAAATGAGCTGTTGCTTTGTTTAGTCAACTATTGTCTTTCATCTTATAACATATATAAAATGTATTTGTGGACATCGATAAATAAACTATCATAAAATAACAATATATAAATTTATGTGAAATTTTTAAAAAAATATATAAAAAATAAAAAATTCACCATAATTTACAAAAAAAAATTATTAGAGATTTATATATGTGTATATATATATATTGAAGGAATAAGCATAATGGACAAATGGGATGGCCTACGAGGAGTACAATATTTAAGGATGATATTTTTTTATATTAATGTTAGGTAATTATATGGTAATATCTGTTTAAAAATAACTCTCAATTATTTGACATTGAATGTTTATGTCCTTAATATTCTTGGTGCTCGAACTCGAAATCTTAAAGAATGATAATAAATTTTTTTATCACCGAGATCATTTGGTTGGTGCTTGAATGATGAGATCAAAACAACAGGCCCTTTCTTCTTATGGGACCCAATTCATGTATATATGGGTCTATTGGGTCATGATCAACCCATCCATCATTGGAGACCCCATCTATGGATCCCTCCCCCACATCCATGACGTGATGTATCATGCATTGCTATATAAAATAATGATTGATGATCAATTATCATGACCATGCAATCCATTTATGTCAAATATTGAAGTCCATAAAAAATAAAAAAAATAAAAATAAAATTTCCCATGTTGAATCAAAATTTCTTTTGGGCATTGTATTTGAAATAAGATTTTAAAGAATTTGTCTTTTAATTTAAGCTTTTATTATACATAAAGACTCGAATTAGAAACCTACTTAAGCAATATCAAACTGCTTATCACTTGAGCTCATCTCGTTGGCTAGATAAAAATTTCTAAATCGATATGGCAAATTATCTTAAAATTAAAATTAAAATTAAAATAAAATATGAAACATTTATTTTGACTTATAAAAGATTAAAAAATCTAAATAAATACAAATTATATACTTATATTGTAATAAAACCTTAATATAACATCACATGAACTAGGGCTGTCGGCAAACCCCTTTTTTCGTCTTTGAATGGGGACTAAATTTCACTTTGTTTTGATTGCCATGATTACTTTAAACAATATCACTAATCGTGATTTAACTTCTGCTTAAAAAGAGATACTTCAATTTCTGGAAACTGTATTTTATTTTAGTCTTCAAATTTTTGAACATTTTAGAATCATCCTCAAACTACACCCTTCATTCTATATTGGTCCCCTAACATTTTCAACATTTCAATTTCATCCCAAATTATTTGTATATACTGATCACATTCTATGTTAATAAAATCGTTAGGTCAAGTTATAATATTATATGTTTGGAAAAATAAAGTTCAAGTTAAATTATGGTTATAATTGATTTCATATTTGGATGAATTTGGGAATGAAAATGGAAGGTTTAAAAGTTTAGGGACTAATTTAGAATAAGGGTCATAGTTTGAGAATTAAATTGGAATGCTCAAAAGTTTAAGGACTAATTAGAGTGACTATCATAGTTTGAGGGTAAAATTATAATATTAAAAAGTTTAAGGATTAATTTAGAATGAGTATCATAGTTTGGGAACATATGATGCGATTAACTCTTAATATTTATATTGTTTTTTGTTCAA